TAATGTTTGACAATGAGTTTAATATTTTCTGATGTAACACGTAGAGAGACGACTTTCAAGTAATTCTAATCCACGTATATATGTCTGACTGGTACGACTCGCCAACACTCGGCACAAATCGTTTATAAAGTTTTCCACCCACACGTGGCACGAGCCTCCTTATGTGACCTCCATTACCCTCCTCGTTCAGCTTTAAGTCTGAACCACAAATTCTACGATACTCAAGGCGTCATACGTATCTCTTTGCTGTATTTTCGACTGCTCAAACAATTCTTTCGACGTTTTCTATTCAAGATTGAAAATTAACAAATTTGTAATAATAATTATAAAAATTAAATCATTTGTTTAAGAATCTATTTTTTTTTTTTATTTTTTTATTAATTAAAAATAATATTCTTTCATTTGTTCACAGAAAAATCAACGATTCAATGTATTTATAAATACATATTGTCCATGACAAATCTGATTTGTAATGAAAATATAAAAATTTGTTTAAATTTAGACGACAATTTTTTTTTTTTAAATAATTAAAACAATTTTTTTAAGAATTTTCAAATGTTTCGTATTAGTTGATAATGTACTTTTTTTTTTTTCCCCCATAATAATGACATATATAAACAAATCGATTTATAATAAAAATATAAAAAATTTATTTAAATTTAAGCCACAATGTTATTCTTTGATTAATGTTTAACGAATTTCCTACGCTCGTGCAGAAACCCAACAGGCGTAATTGAGATTTCCTCCGATCAACGCGCGAGTACCATCAATTATCCTACGTCTCCTCCTCCTCCTTCTCCTCCTCCTCCTTCTTCTCCTCATCCTCCTCCTCCATCTCCTCCTACTCCTCCTCCGTCTTCGCATATTATCCTACCGAAGATTGCTTTTTTGCAATGTAAATATCTCAATGAAAATTCACCGTTTAATTTGTATTCCGTAACGTCGACCTGACGACCAATTGTATTTAATAGGTCAATTGACGTAAAATGTAAATTTGTTACATTTTGAAACATCGATCGTTCACATCGTTCGTTTTTTCTCGAAAAATTGAAACAGAAAGTAATGCAAATAATGCAATTTGTTAGACACAAAATCTATTAGATTCGATTGTTCGATTTTACAATAACAAAAAAAAAAAAAAATAATTTGATTCTACTGTGACTTCGTCAGATATGATAAATCAAAATGATAAAGTCCAAGTTGCATGACGTGAAATACAAAAAAAAAAAAAAGAAAAAGAAAAAGAAAAAAAAGAGAAACACAGAAAATATAATGCGGTCGTCACAATATGCATATAATTATTTCGAAAATTATAACTTATCTTTCTATTATACGAAATATGCCATGAAAAATATCGAATTACTAAAATGAATTTATCATTATACTATCCTTTCAAAGATATATTTTTTTATTTTATTTTTTCAAGGATATATATTTTGGAATTTGTTATAATTGTTATAGTATATGTGTGTTAGACTCGTATATAATGAGCAGAAATATACTATTCGCTGTAACTTAATGAAATATTTTCTCATATAATAACTTGGTAATGAAACTTCGTTAATGAAATATATAATTTAAAAAAAAAAAAAAATAACAATAATAAAAAGATAACCGACACATAAAACATAAGAATTAAAATAAATTAATAGAAATGATAAGATACTTAAAACTGATAATATGTAATGAAACGATTTCATCTAAAAAAATAAAGTTTGATCGAACTATGACATCGCAAAGACTAACAATCAGTATTATAAAATCTTAGTTAATATCTTGGATAATTAATTTTTGTTCAAAAAGAAATGCAAATAACGTTATTAATAAGTTGCAAAGTATATGCAGATGAGAATGGTTGATTTGACATTATAGAAAAAAGTTTGATTGAACCGTAATATCACCAGGCATACCAACCAGAATAATAAAGTTTCAGTTAATTTAAAATCAAGATAAAAGAAATGTAAATAACAAAATAAGTAAGTTACAAAAACTTGTGAGATGCATCGAATTTACATTCCAAAAAAAAAAAAAAGAAAAAAAAGAAAAAAAAGAAAAAAAAAAAAGAAAGTATGACTGAACTACGATATCTCGTAGTCTGATGAACCAGAATGATTAAATTCGAGTCAATGCCCTGAATCATGTCTGCTCTTCTAAAAAAAAAAAAAAAAAAAAAAAAAAGAAGATAAAAGAGATGCAAATACAATTGGTAGCTAGATCATAAAACATATATTCAACTGGTCGACGTCACATTCCAGGATAAAAGTTTGATTGAGGTCCATGATATCTCACCCAAGTCTGACGACTAAAATGGTAAAAAGTTAGAATCAACACAGTTTGAAATGAAAAGTATCCAAAGTATCGTAAATCATGTTATCGTCCGATTTACTATCACATTGAGAAACTCTTTTTATTAATATTGAAGATTCCAGTCGAATATCTTCAAGAGAAAAAGAAGAAGAAGAAAAAGAAAATGATTTATACGTTTCCTTCTCTCTTGCTATTTCCTGCTAACGACCGATAAATCTCATGAAAGGAGAAGTTTCAGAAGTCCTGCAAACTGGTCGATTAAATTCCGTACACGTTCGGTCTACAGCATCCCTTTCTCTCATTCCTGAACCAAATAGACAGGAGGTACCATCTAGTTCAGTCCGAGTTGAGTCGTCTATAAGCTCGCATAGCTCGATTTGTCAATCGCTGATCTGCAATTCTCTCTCATCGAAACGGATCCGTGAATATGCAGTTAACCTCGAACTTCCGGAAGTTAATCAAATTGTACATAAAGGATCTTGATTAATCGACCATATGCTGTTATGAATCATTCGATTAATCGTATAATCAATGAACTAATCTAGTAATATTTTGTCAAATAATAAATTAATAATTTACTGATACCTTAAAAATTATTAAATATTCTAATCCAATTTCCTTTTCTTTTTTTTTTCGATAATGAAATTCTCTAAAATAATTATTGTAGATCAATATTTAAATTCGGACGATTATTATTGATGTATTATGATTATTTCAATTATTTCTATTTTTTCTTTTTTTGTATATAAATAAAACTTTATTGTTTTAAATTATATTTAAATAAGATTATAGTTTCTTTAATACATTTTGAAATAAAAAAACTTTTCTATTTTTCTAAATTATTTTGAAGAAAATTTAGTTTTATTTTTTATAACAAAATAAAATTATATTTTTATAATACAGTTATATAATAAATATAGTTTAATTTTTTATAACAAAAAATAAAAAACCTTTCGATAAATCTACTAAAATTTAAGACAACAACGTCAAGATTATATGGATTAATTGCTGACTAATTTCTAATGATTTTTTGATACTAGTAACTTTGGATATTCAACTTTCGAAGAAATTCAACTTGCTAAATGATAATTCATTGAGATCCAAAACTGTATAACTTACTAAAGATAAGCGAAATCTTTCCGTCGTGTTTCTTCACAGTCAACGCCTACATTGTAACCGACATTATAGTTGGGAAAACGATTTATACGACGATTAAGCTATTGACTTAAGAATGAGGCTCTTTCTAACGCATTAAACGATTCTCGTGTCTTCGTGGAAACTTACAAGTTGGCCAGTGAAAACTAGTAGGAAGAACGAAGTACTTATCACTGATTCGTCGAACTAATGCTTTTTTTCTCCTTTCTTTTTTTTTTCTTTTTTACGATCCCACTATTTCAAGTACGTCAATTTAATAACGAACCTATTAATAATTTCTTTTACTACATAGAATGAGTCATTATCAGGTAAAGAGTTTAATGTATCGTTATTATATAATGTGACTAGTAAATTTTCAATTGTTAATATAAAACTATATACCTATATATCTAATTATAAATTTATAAATGATTATATTCATGCACAGTGTGATTCATCGTCAGGTGAAATGTTTAACATGAGGTTACTGTATAACATCTAGTGACTTCTATATTATTAATATAAAACTATATGTACGTATCTAATAATCCAATTTATAAATTATTATTCTCATTCACAGAGTGAGTCATTGTTAGGTAAAGAATTTAATATGTATCTAATGAAATAACTGAATCTATTTAATAACAATCTTATGAATAATTATTATCATGCATAGAGTGAGTCATTGTTAGAGGTAAAGAATTTAATACGAAATTACTATATCTCACCTAGTTATTTTCCTATTTTTCATATTAGAAATAATAAGAATATAAGAGAATAAAAATCGTTAAAAAAAAGAAAAAAGAAAAAGAAAAAGAAAAAAAAATGATAGAAAAATTAATATGTCGTTCTCCTTTAAATATTTGTTGAGAAAACTCAAACGTCAAAGTTGGTTTATATTAGGATATCATTTTTTTTTAAGATGAAATATTTTCGTAGATTTCCGCTAAAGCCAACTTCATGAACGTGTATGCTCTATCGTTGGGGACAATGAAGAAGAAAGTGGCACGGCTGACACTTCATTGTCCGCTCTCGAATTCGCATTGTTATCCTACCATTGGATGCTTGAAAAAAAAAAAACGGGCAATCAAGAAACGTCTAAACGAGTGTCATTCTGTGGTTAACGACCTTTTTGCAATTTTTCATACTACAATGGGAACTTTTTTGCCATGAAAATTTCATCGAGCAATTTTAAAGATTTGTTTCATTTTCAAAAAAAAGAAAAAAATTTGTATAATGATATAAGAATAATGAAAAAAAAAAAAGAAAAGAAATAATAATAAAATGAACAATTTCAACAATCGTTCCTAGTATTGTTTTTTGAAAATATTTAGGAGCTTCGAAATAAAGAAATAAAAATTCTTTCGTTTAAAAAAGCAAGAAAGAAAAAAAGAAATGACAAAATTTACCGACCATATCTAAATAATAATTCTTTTTAAATGTTCAAAATCTCGAAATAAATAAAAAAAAAGATCTTCCATTTTCACGATGAAAATAAATAAAATAAATAAAATAAATAAAAGTACATCCTTCACGGCACTATTTTGGAATAACGCTTCACCTAATACGTGCGATAAATTTAACGTTAAAAAACGGACACTGAAAAATGATAAAACCGGCTTGTAGCAATATAAAAGAAAAATTATAGGTTAGGTTGTCCCAAAAGTTATCTTTTACGTTTTTAAAACACTGCCAGATAAATCAGCTGCGTGCAGATAGCGAAAAAAAGCACTTTTGAGAGAATCTACATTGAAAGAAAAGAAAAGAAAAAAAAAATAATAATTATAATAATAATAAAAAGAAAAAAAGAAAGAAGAAAAAAAAGAAATGAATAATAGAAAGAAGAAAAAACGAAAGAAAGAATATAAAATTACATGAGTAATACAACTGATTGATTATAAAGAAGAGGAAGTCAGATGAGTCCATCATCATCATCATCATCATCATCATTATCATCGAAATATATGTACATAGGTTATGTACTCGAATACTTAACTTCTTCTCTCTTCCTCACGATTAATCGGTTAAGGAGTTGATAAAAAAAACGAATCTACAGGTCGCAAACAGTTATCGGAAGTCAATTCGAATTAAACTTTCTCAGAGATCGAAGACACTTTATAAACCATGAACGAATAAGTTTAATGTATGACTATTCCAATGTCTCTGCTAGTTACTTCGACATACGTCGAGACCTTCATTGACACCAGACGTCTCAACGATTCAATGAATTGCAGTATTCTCGCTTTTAATCGTTCCCACTCTTGGATCTTATCAATAATGTGAATCATCGTTGTCGTTCTTTTTTTTTTTTTTTTTTTTTTTTTTTTTTTTTTTTTTTTTTTTTTTTTTTTTTTTTTTTAAATGTCACGAGAAGCTCTTTTATTTAAGGGAAAAAGAATAATATCGAATAAAGAAAGGAAAACAAGAAAGAAAATAATATTCGGAGACGTGAGAAAATTTACAAAAACAAAACAAAAAAAAAAAAAGAAAAAAAAAACAAAGAAATAATAATAATATCAATAAAAAGCATACAATACGAATATTACAGAGATCAAATGAAAAGTAAAATTTGTCGATTTAAATTATGAAAAAGAATTCCAATTCCATTTGATGACTCAACCCGCATCGCAACGTCTCGCAAATGACTATACCCAGTGTGATGCATCCATTTAACAGTTCTTCGTAAATCGTTTCCTTTCTTTTCTACAGTACGTCTTTCGTAACACCGATCGCCAATTCTTTTCTTTCGTAACTAAATATTTGATCTTTTATTTAATAAAATTACGATACTATTTTCACTTCCGTTAAATATAATTTATATTGATTTTCAATTTCCCCACCCCCCCTCGCCTTAAAGATACGTATCAAAATTTCGAAGAAAAAAAAAAAAAATTTATTTCATTCAAAAAAATAATAAATAGAAGTTAGACTTTCGGCAAAGTATTGCCGTGATAATGAACGAATCCGTTCGTAATTTTTTAATAATGAAATTATTTATTATAAGATATTGTATTCGAAGTATCGTCGCGAAATAATTTATATTATAAATTGTTATAGAAAAAATAAGTGAACAAGATCGTAAAGAAAAAGAAAAAAAAAAAAAAAAAAAAAAAAAAAGAATGGTAAAATTATAGATCAATCTTTCTAGATTACATTTAGTGATACATAAAAAAATTAATGGTGTCAATGTACCGTTAAAAAAGAAACGAAGTGGACGTAATAATCACATGTCTATATAGCAAAAAATACGAATAATGTCATGTTCTACATATTATATTCCGTATCAATGAATAAATTAACATTGTCTTGCTATTCATAAGATACAAAAAAAAAATAATAATAAAAAATAAAAAAGAGGAAGGAAACAAATATGACGACTAAAAAAATTCTACTCTCCAGATACATATTATATTTCATATTAATGAACAAATTAATCCTATCTCACTATTCATAAAATGAAAAAAGTAAATCAATAAAAACGAATATGGCGACTAGAAAATTCTACCTATCAACTTGTCAAGTATACATTATATTTCGTATCAATAATCAAATTAATATCGTCTCGGTATTCGTAAGACTCAAAGAAAAAAAAAAAAAATCAAAATAAACAAATAAAAAATGAGAAAGGAAAAAAGAAAGTAAGGAAGAAATATTACGACTAAAAGCTTTTATCTATCCTTTCGGTTACGCCATATAAAAAATATGGCGGGAAATGTAAAAGTTCCAATTTTCTTACGCACAAAAAGAAAAAAAGAAAAAAAAGAAATGTCCTTTACAATAATGTCCAAAGGATCATCGCGAGATCATATTTATTTTTCATCGATATTTTTAAGAAAAACAAGAAAAAAATAATGGATGATACGGCAAAGCCATTCCATACGAAAAAGATTCGCCTGTATATTCATCAAGTTTCGTTTACATTTTCAAACTGACGGAGATAAATCGGAGAAAGAGAGAGAGAGAGAGAGAGAGAGAGAGAGAGAACCCTTCACCCCTTCCCACTGTGCCAAAAAAAAAAAAAAAGAAAAAGAAAAAAAAGAAACAATAAATGTCGATTTT